TTCATTTTGATTCAACAAATATATAAGTGTTTGCTACAGTAATAACAGTTCAGAACATTTGCACAATTTTAATAAAGACAGATTTGCTTAAAGAGAAAAAACAAAACAAAGAACATTTCCACAACTTGGTTAATTAAGGAACTTTCTCCAGTATGACCATATCTAGTCCTCACAGTGGCCCAGTGAAATACCCTCCTCTGAACTACAGCTATCTGGGCTTCCCCTGTCATAACACTTACTGCACTGACTTGTCATTGCTGGTTTCCTGAGTGTCACTCCTCTAGACTGGGAGCGTGTTGAAGGCTTTGTGGGTCCCCAGTACCCCAACACAGATCCTTGACTAGATTGGGCTTCCAGGAAAGTATGTTGGATGGATGCATATGAAATCAAGCTGATTAGGCACCCTGATTGATGATACAGCAAATGCGTTCTCACCTGGAGGTGCTCAGTATGTGAAGCAGTTGCAGCCCATGGTAATGAGCACTGCAACTGAGGTGTGAGATCGGTGCTCAGAGAATCCAGGGAGCAGCTCACTCTGCCAGGGGTGGGGGAGACATAGGGTTCTGGAGAGACCTCCTGGAAGTGGTGCCCAGTCTTATAGCTCCCTAACTGTGCAGTCGCTATTCTTTCCCAGGGCCGGCTGACAGATGGAAAAGGGAAAACCATCGACTGCAAGGACGCCATCTTCATTATGACCTCCAATGTGGCCAGCGAGGAGATCGCACAGCATGCACTGCAACTGAGGCAGGAAGCTTTGGAGATGAGCCATAATCGTATCGCTGAGAACCTAGGTATGGCACATGGCCTGAGCTGTCTAGGCAACTGGGCAAGTGCCCAGGCCACCAGCACATCTCTTGAGGGCAAGGATGGCACTGGGGTCCTAGGCCTTGGTGAGGGTGCTGGTAGACAGTTTTGCCCCTAGCTGGCAATGACCAGAGACCAAGCACCATGCCAGATAGTGGAGGGAGACAGAGACAGTGCCCTCACTTCCTCAATAAAGCCCCAAGTCTCAGGTGACAGGAAGGTTCCAGACAGAGAAATGGACAGAGCCACCCTAGGGTGAAGGGCCAGGAAGAGGCCAGGGTTTTAGGGGACTGAAGAGACCCATCCTTAACAGAGATGCTTTGGTGCAACGAGGAGACAGCAGATCAGAAACTATATGGCGATGGACACAGCCTTTTTCAGCTGGGGTGCCTTCCTGTGTAGGCAGGCTGGAGAATGCTGGAGAGGAGGAGTGCATCAGACAGGAGGTCATATCTGTCACTTTTCCATTTGGAATTGAACCCTCCAGCCCCCTTCTTCCAAGTCAGAACTCAAGTCTTGGTCCTGACTCTCCTTTTCCCTCCTGTTTCTCACACAACTTCCACCCTAAGGAACCCCAGGTTTTGTAGCACATGAGAGCTGGAAGGGCCTCAGAAAGTGCCCATTCCAGTCCTCTCGTTGTTCCGGTAAGAAGATGAGGTCAAGGCCCAGAGAGCCCAAGACATTGACCAGGATCACACAGATCATCAGGGACAGGACCAGGGCTCTTTTCATGGACAGGGTCAAGGGGCTGGCACATCTCTTAAAGGTCCCTGGGTGTGGGGAATAGGTAGGTTATGATTCTGTTTCTACAGGGGATGTCCAGATTAGTGACAAGATCACCATATCAAAGAACTTCAAGGAGAATGTGATTCGCCCCATCCTGAAAGTAAGAGGTTTTTGTCCTTCCTGCTGGAGCCTTGGGTGAGGGGATCCCCTTAGCCATCCTAAAGCTATGGAAGCCCCCATGTCTTCCCCATTGGGGTCCATTAATTGCCTTTACGCCCATCTGGGTGACTGAGTTCACCCGACCCCTTATCTGGCTCTGCAGGCTCACTTCCGGAGGGATGAGTTTTTGGGACGAATCAATGAGATCGTCTACTTCCTCCCCTTCTGCCACTCGGAGCTCATCCAGCTAGTCAACAAGGAACTGAACTTTTGGGCCAAGAGAGTAAGAGTGGGGACTGCCCATGAGTGGGGATGGGATATCTGCCCACTGGGAACACCACCTCCCAAAAGGTGGAGCACAGTGGTATGGGGCCGGTGGCCCTGAGGCACAGTCTCTCACAGACCCAGGCCTCAGGCATGAGTGATGAGAGATGGAAATCCCTGAGCCACATGCAGACATGCTCCTCTCTGACCTTTCTCAGGCCAAGCAAAGACACAATATCACACTGCTCTGGGACCGCGAGGTAGCAGATGTGTTGGTCGACGGCTACAATGTGCACTACGGCGCCCGCTCCATCAAGCATGAGGTGAGCACAAGAGCCTAGAGAAGTGAGGTGCCTCCACATCGCCTTCCCTGGTGCCCCCAGCCCAGTCCCTAGACTCCCTGGCCTGGAATTGTTCCTGCCCAGAACAGATGGCCCTATAAAATCAAAACCACAAAATGCTCAAGTCAAACCCTGTTCTGGAGGGTAACCAAGTATGAACCCCTACCAGGATGGGGAACTGAGTTGGGAACCTCAGGAACTGACATTGAGTTTTTAGCACAGTCCTGCAAGCTGTGTGTTGTTAGCCCTTTGCAGATGAGAAAACTGAAGCTCAGTATAAGTACTTGTCCTAGCAGTAAGCAATAGAGCCTGGCCTTCAGGCTCAGGCCCCAAGCTGGCCCAGGCCTCAGCAGTGACAACCACTTCACCTGTCACCTGCAGGTAGAGCGCCGTGTGGTGAACCAGCTGGCGGCCGCCTACGAACAGGACCTGCTGCCAGGGGGCTGTACTCTGCGCATCACTGTGGAGGACTCAGACAAGCAGCTACTCAAGAGCCCTGATCTGCCCTCAGCCCAGGCAGAGAAGCGTTCACCCAAGCTGAGGCTGGAGATCATCGATAAGGACAGCAAGACCCACAAACTGGACATCCGGGCACCACTACACCCTGAGAAGGTGTGCCACACCCTCTAGCATCTACCTACCTGCCTAGTGCCCTCAGCATTCAATAAAGGCCCCTCAGCTGTGGCATGGCAACTGACCTACCCTCCCCTCATACATCTTGCTCCTCTCCACTCAGCCTAAGGCCTCTTACTTCCTCACAGCCCCTGTAAGACCCCTCCTCAGTCCCCCAAAGCAGGAATTTTGCCCTCTCCTGCCCCCTTTGTTATGGGTCCAAAACTTGATAACAGGTCTCCAGGAGAGGAGCTTCCCCTCCACCCCCTTCAAGGCAGAGAGGAGAGGGAGGTCCCTTATCTCTGGCCTTCAGCATGATCCCCATGCCCCAGAGTCTGGAACTTTTATCATGTTCCTTGGAAGCTCAGAAGTATGGCAGCTAAGAACAGATCTGGCTGGAAGAAGATAGGGGTCAGACTGTGACCTGCCACCCCCTGCTGGCCCCCAGAATGTCTCCACAGAGTGGAGAAAGAGTATAGAGGCCCAGACACAGAGGTTCTTCAGTTTAGGCTGTAGCTACCTCTTTCCCATGCCCTAAAATTCCAAGGGAGAGGGACCCATAGAATCCTTCCCCCTTCCACTGCCATATTATAGCTACTGTTCCTCCTCACCCTGCGTTCTGGGGTCAGGCCAGACCAGGTTTCTCCAGCCTTGGAACTAGGCCAGTGTAGAGCACTTCTAGGAGGAAGGCTGACTGGGTCACCACCCTGGCCTGCTCTGGGACTCAACAGTAGTACCAAATGACCCAAGTAAGCTCAGCACTTGGGGCCTCCTTCAGCCCTGTCTACACTGCTGTCCTAGCTAACTTAGCCTGGAATAAACAGCTCCCCCATGCAGTCTCCATGTTAGTCACTAAGCAGGAGGTCTATACACCATCCCTTATATTTCAGCCTCAGCTTGCTGGACACAACAAGGCCTGGTATGTCCTGGGCATCATCTGCAGTAGCCCCCATTGGTGATCACTGTATCACCCTCCCCCTGCAGGGCCATTTCAGAACCCTCCTTTGGTGTTAGCTCATCTCTTTCAGAAAGCAGAAAGTGGTAGGAATCAAAGTCCCTTGGGTGATGGAAGAATGTCATANTGGCTGGAAGAAGATAGGGGCCAGACTGTGACCTGCCACCCCCTGCTGGTCCCCAGAATGTCTCCACAGAGTGGAGAAAGAGTATAGAGGCCCAGACACAGAGGTTCTTCAGTTTAGGCTGTAGCTACCTCTTTCCCATGCCCTAAAATTCCAAGGGAGAGGGACCCATAGAATCCTTCCCCCTTCCACTGCCATATTATAGCTACTGTTCCTCCTCACCCTGCGTTCTGGGGTCAGGCCAGACCAGGTTTCTCCAGCCTTGGAACTAGGCCAGTGTAGAGCACTTCTAGGAGGAAGGCTGACTGGGTCACCACCCTGGCCTGCTCTGGGACTCAACAGTAGTACCAAATGACCCAAGTAAGCTCAGCACTTGGGGCCTCCTTCAGCCCTGTCTACACTGCTGTCCTAGCTAACTTAGCCTGGAATAAACAGCTCCCCCATGCAGTCTCCATGTTAGTCACTAAGCAGGAGGTCTATACACCATCCCTTATATTTCAGCCTCAGCTTGCTGGACACAACAAGGCCTGGTATGTCCTGGGCATCATCTGCAGTAGCCCCCATTGGTGATCACTGTATCACCCTCCCCCTGCAGGGCCATTTCAGAACCCTCCTTTGGTGTTAGCTCATCTCTTTCAGAAAGCAGAAAGTGGTAGGAATCAAAGTCCCTTGGGTGATGGAAGAATGTCATAACAATATGGTGGGTATAAGACAGTCATAAGCCAGGATAGGGGCTCCAGCAGATGCTCCAGCAATCACCATCTAGCCCCTCAAGGAGCTGTGTCTGCCACTCCCTACCTCAGTGACTGCTGTTTTGTTTTTCTTAAAATAATTTTAGACTTACAGAAAGTTGCAAAAATAGTAGAGTTCCCATATACCCTTCACCTAGCTTCTCCTAATTTGAACATCTTATAAAACCATGGTATAATTATTAAAATCAGGAAATTAACATTGGTGCAGTTTCACTAACTGACTTGTGGACATTCAGATTTTGCCAGTTTTTCTGCTCCTGGTGTTTTTTTCTGGTTCAGGACCCAAGGCAGGTTCAGGATCCTGCCTTGCATTTTGTTATCGTGTTTTCTTCGTCTCCTTCAGCCTGTGATAGTTCCTCTGTCTTTCTTTGCCTTTCACGACCTTAACACTTTTGAAATGTCCAGGCTGGTTGTTTTGAGGTGTGTCTACTGTTTTCACATGATTAGATTGAGGGTCTGCATTTTTGGCAAGACAACCCCAGGAGTGGTGCTGTGCCCTTCTCAGTGTCTCCTAGCAGGGGATAAACTTAACTTTGATCACATGGCTGAGGGGGTAAGTGCCAAGTTTCTCCATATAAAATTAGAAACTTCTCCTTTGAAATTAGTAAGAATCTTGTGAGAAGATACTTTGAAGCCATGCAAATGCCTTATTTGCCCTTAGAATTTTGCCCACTGATTTCAGCATCCATGAATGGTTCTTGCATACAGCAAGTATGAATGTTCTATTTGCCTAATAATGTTTTCTTATTCCACCTATATATATTAATTGGTATCCTACTGTATTCTCCTTCCCCCCATTTATTTATTCAATAATTTATTTATAATAGTATAAACTGATGGATATTTGTTTTCTTCTAAGGGTTATGATCTAATACTAACATAGTTTATTTTGCTCTTTTAGGCCTAGATTTGGCCATTGGAACCCTTTCAGGTTGGCTCCTGTGTTGTTTCAGCATTGCCCCCATCATTTTTTTAGCACTTTCTTACTTTCTGGCTCCATAAGATATTCCAAGATCACTCATATTTTTCTTGTTCCAGCTCTGACATCAGCCATTTCTCCCAGCAGCACCTGGTTCCTTTTATTCGAGATGATACTTAGAGACTAGGATATGGGCACTGGGTATATTCATTGCTACTGGAGTGTCATTTCTTCTAGGCCCTTTCAGCACACAGAACTAGGTAATATATGTATATATGTTAACACGCATCACATCTGAATTTATCATTGTATGTCTCTATCTGTTTATTATTAAAAACCATGAGATCATATTGGTATCTGCAGTTCCAATCCAATATCACAGAGTCTGACTGCCATTACTATGGTTTTACTATTCTTATTCTGCTTTTCCTCTCCTGCTATCTCCGTTTCTTCTCTTTTCCTTCTGTTTGGTGTTGGATAAAATTCTTTTGCCTGGCTGTCAGTCCCTTGGTTAAATCAACTGTCGCCAAGAACAGCAGGCATATAAACCAGATAACTTTTATACAAGAAAACCCATTGGCCATCTTTCTGAAAGGAGGGTAGGGGACTGGGTAGACCCTCAGTTTCTAAGGAACTTACGTATCACTTCTAGAGATTCTTAGTTAGACATCCTTGGTGATGTTGGATCCCTGTCTTATACTTCCTTAGCATCCTAGGCAACACTCAGCTCACTTACTTGTTTTATATCTGTCTTTGTCACCAGAGTGTGATCTCCAAGAGTGCAGATACCAGTTGTTCAGCTCACTATCTTATTCTTAGAACCTGGCACAGTGCCAGCACATGAGGATGCTCCAGGTATTTGGATGAATGATTGGCCCTGGGGAAAGCACAGATCTTCACAGTAAGTCCCAGGACAGAACAGTGTTACTTGTTCACTAAACACACATTTATTTGTCATGTGCTTGTGGCCAGGCAGTAGAACCTGCCAGGATAAACCCCTAAGCGAATGGGGCAAAGTAAGACCCAGAGACACCTTATTGAGTATCCTAAAATGCATAAGGCTGGACTGGGAGATGAAAATGTAACACCAAGCCCTAGCCGGTTTGGCTCAGTGATTAGTGCGTCAGCCCGTGGACTGAAGGGTCCCAGGTTTGATTCTGGCCAAGGGCACGTACCTTGGTTGCAGGCTCAGGGGTGCGAGCAGGAGGCTACCAATCAATGTGTGTCTTTCACATCGATGTTTTTTTCTCTCTCCCCTACCCTTCCACTCTCTAAAAAACAATGGAAAAAATATCCTCAGGTGAGGATTAAAAAAAGGGAAAAAAATATATATAATGCTGACACCTTTACTGTTCAAAAAGAAAAACTCAGAGTTGCGTAGTGATTGTTTTAGAAATTTAGAAAAAGCACACATTTAAACCATAATAATACCTGAAATGGCCTAATAAAGATAAATTTTTTCTTTGAAAACACCAATAAAATAGATAAAACCACCTTAGCCTGATAAAGGGGAGAAGAGCAAAAAGATAAAATAGGATTAGGAATGAGGAATCAGACATAACCATATATATATGGAAGAATATAAAATAATTTTAGGAATGTTCTATGGCAACAAATTTTAAAACGGCAAACACATAATTTTCTAGCAAACACTGACCCAAGGTATTGTTTGAATGGACAAGTTAATTATCAAAGAAGAAATTGGAAAGGTGATTAAAATTTTATCCTTTTAGAAGATTGTTTTCTTATATTTAAACTTTTTTATTGATATGGAAAAATGCATAGATCACAAGCATACAGTTCAATTATCACAACGTGAACAAAAAATGTACGTTGTATTTATTTTTAAATCCTCAGTGGGGATATTTTTTCCATTGCTTTTCAGAGAGCATGGAAGAGAGAGAGAGAAACATCAATGTGAGAGAGAGACGTCAATTGGTTGCCTCCCGCATGCACCCTCACCCGGGCCTGGGAATGAGCCTGCAACAGAGGTACGTGCCCTTGGCCAGAATCGAACCCCGGACCATTCAGTCCCTGGGCCAACACTCTCAACACTGAGCAAAACCGGCTAGGGCTGAGTTGTAATTTTTAATTAATATATAAACTGCTTCAAACCGTGGGAAAAGATGAAAAAATGCTCCATAGATTTTTATTTCTTCTTTGCCTTTTTAATTTTTTTTTAAATATATCTTTATTGACTTCAGAGAGAGGAAAGGAGAGGGAGAGAGAGAGAGAAAGAAACATCAATGATGAGAGAGTCATTGATCAGCTGCCTCCTGCACTCCCCTGACCGAAGATCAAGCCTGCAACCCGGGCATGTGCCCTGACCAGGAATTGAACCGTGATCTCCTGGATCCTAGGTCGATGCTCAACTGCTGAGCTATGCCCAGCTGGGCTTTAACTTTTTTTAATTGTTCAAAATATTACAGATGTCCCCTTTTTTCCCCATTGACCTCTTCCATCCTCTACCTGCTCCCCTCCTCAGGCCCTCACCACAGTATTGTCTGTGTCCATGGGTTATGCATATATGCATATGTTTTTCATTTATTCTAGAGAGAGAGGAAGGGAGAGAGAAAGAGAAACATCGATGTGTGAGAGAGAAACATTGATCTGTTGCCACCTACATGCACCCCGACCAAGAGTCGAACCCGCAACCTGGGTATGTGCCCTGACTGGAAATCCAGCTTGAGACCCTTCCATGCACAGGATGACACTCCAACCGCTAAGCCACACAGGCCAGGGCTCCATAGATTTTTAAAGGCCAGCATAAGAAATTAATACTCAAACCTGATAAAGTGCCAAAAAGAATGCCATAGCCTATGACTATAGATAGAAAAATTCCAACTAAGTAAAGTTGAATTGTATACCATGATAACATAAGGTTTATTGCAGCAATACAAGCCTCCGTATTAGGAAATTTATTAATATAATTCACTACATCAAGAATTTGAAGATTAATTAAATGTCTAGAGACATTTAATGTTAATTTTCTTATTTGATAATATTTCTTACATGATTATGTCAGAGAATCCTTGGTTTAAGAAAATACTCATTGAAGTATTTAAAGGTAAAGACAATTTGCAAATGTTTCAGGAAACTTTATACATATACACACATATATCTGTATATATACAATACATATATACAAACAGAATAGTAAAACTAAAATTCAACATTGGCGAAATCTGAGTAAAAAGTACATGGGAACTCTGTTGTTTTTACAACTTTTCTGTAAGTAAAATTATTTCAAAATAAAGTTTTTTAAATGAAAGGGGATATAACATTTTATCAGTATATGCTGGAAAGGCATTT